ACTATTTGCTGTGTAAAGACATATAGCGGAGGAATCGGCGTCCCGAACAACAGCGTCATCGTGGAAGCGCTGTGCCACCCTGGGTCCCCCCCCCCAGGTAAACACTGTTAGCTGTCAGCACGTTTGCCGTAGGTTGTACTGTTAACGCTGTTAGCACCTTTGGCTACAAGCAAATGGCTCGAGCGTGGCCATGTTGAGAGCCATAAAGAATCAAACGAAATGTTCTAAATCTTGTATTATGCACCTGTAAATAACTTTGATCTTTTAGCTAAACACTGACATCATGCCCACAATGCCAATGCAAACATGCTGATGTTAGCAGGTATGGTTACCATTTTTACCATCTTTGTTTAGGAGTAACATGCTCATATTTGCAATATTTTTGAAGATATTTGGTCATAAAACAAAGTATTCGAGAAATTCAATTTTTGACATGATGGTGCCAGATGAAGTTAAGGGATCCAAAAGTTACTACAACTGATCCTCATGACATGAATTTCTGCATTAAAGTCCATGGCAATCAATCCAAAAGTTGTGGTGACATTTCCTCATGTGTCAACCTTGTGGTGGTGGTAATAGAGGAAAAGTCAGGGGATCACCAAAATTGATAGGGTTCACCCACTGAGGACCATGAATGTCTGTGCATACTTGCATGGCAATCTATCCAAAAGTTATTGAGATATATCTGTCTGGACCATCATGGCCATCCCTGGAGGCATGCCGCTAGCGTGGCTAAAAATTCAATGTATTCTTTGAATTCCAAAACTTTGCTATTACAGCCAAGAAAAGTCATTCAGTTGTTCGTTCCCAGTGACCCGTATACTTGTTGAAAACAAACGCTCACGCAGATGCCAATCTGTCATCAATTGGCCTCCAGTCCAGAAACACAAATTCCCTTGCTGATCTGTTCATTGACTTGCTCAACAAGCCTGAATGTTGACTTTGAATTATCAGCTTTTTCAAGAGCCAGTGAAAGCCTCTTTTGATCTTTAACATTCTCCAAAATCACTTGTTTCTCAACTACACTCAATGATGTATTTTTCTAATGTCGTGGCCAATTGTTATGGTCGGACAAGAAACTAATTTAGGAGGTCAAAACAAAGACTCTCTTGTCTTAAAGCCAGGTCTGACTCCTGTCTTTAAATTTGAAGCCTGAATAGAACAAATATTACGGGTTTCATGTTTGCATTGAGCAATACTGCAAAAGGAGGCCAGAGATGTCAGCGCAGCACCTTTTTAACAAGCCTCTTCGCATTCGTTTTTTTGGAACAATGCCTGCTGCAGTTTGAAAGATGAAAAATATATTCGTCATGGCAGACGGTTGGGATTCATTGTCTCTGCTTGCCTCTTCCTGCTGTGTGACAAACCTGGCACTGTATCTCTCTAAATAATGAGTACTGACTGACTAAGCTGGCATTTCGTTCGGCATATGATGTCATGGCTCTTTATGGTTGTGATAAGAGTGGACATGCTCAGAAGAAACATGTGAAACAGGACTCCCACAATGAAGCGCCACAGGTGTGTGAGTGTGTGTGTGTGTGTGTGTGAACGTCAGCTGAAAAGCATGCAGTCTCATTAGGTAAAATAGCCTCAGGTGAGTGTGGAAACTAGGTGCCACAATTATATTAGAATTAAACCAGTGATTAAAGGGGTTGTTCATTTAGTTGACAGGTATCAAGGCTTTTATGTTTTTAAGTTACTTATGTCATAAACTATGTTGCGACCTCCAGCTGTATAGATTTGGGGTGGGTAAAACTTCACGAAACCCATGTGGACATCATGTAGTAAATGCACCTTTAGTAATGTGTTTATATTTCCCGATGTCCATAAACCGCAGCTGTCATGTTGCTGTTGCACAAATCATTTCATTGTTAATGCTGTGTATTAGCTTCAGTGGCTGGAGTACAAAAGCCCACAGGCGAGACATCTGAGAGAGGCTAGGTCATTGTCAAGATGTGGGTTCAGACTTGTGAGCTAAGAGCAAAGGAATTTGATGCTTTTTAGATCAACAGATAAGCATTATTACAAATGTGTGAGTTCACAATTTCATTGGCACCATGCCGCATTGCCTTGAAGGTTGTGTTTCATAGTCATTCACAACTTTAATTTTGTCTTTAGTCTGTGTTTCTTTCTATTCAGATAAAGTACAAAAAAAAATAGCTGAACTGGTTTAAATATGCACATGTTGCTTGAAGTCTTTGCCAAAGACTTTATGTTTGAGATAGTCTGTTTATGATCTGTCTGTCCTGCTCGTAAAAACTTAAAAATAGGGTTTTGGGCCACAGGACAAATGATTACATTTTGGTGGGGATCCAGGCCTAGCATCTGACATTAAACAATACAGTTTTAGCCTTAACTATAAAAGTAATAAACAGAGACTTGATTCTAATGACGAAGTTTCAGTAAAAATGAAATTGATAGAGAATGTTTTTTCTATGTAATGTTATTTGGAGCTGTTGGGGTTAGAGCTCTCTGGATGCTGTCTACTTACTAAAAAGCTCGGGCCAAGTACGCCTAACATAACACAAGTATTTTCATTTTTCTGTTCCTTTCATATCAACCATTTTTAAAACTTCAAATCTTTTTCTTTTCCTGATCATGATCCAGAGCTAAAACCCAATCTTATCTGTAGTGAAACTTGACCAGGAGGCCGATCATGCCTTTGTGATGACATACACCAAGTGGAAAAGTACAGACCCCCTCTTGCCCCCATGCATATTCTCTCCTCCGCCACAGCTATCACTCTCCTTTCATGCGGGCTGCCTCAGTGACATCACCCCTTGAACTCGTCTTCAAAGTCGTATTTACTGACTCTTATAAAATGGAAGATATCTAACAAGGGCGATCGCCGACCAGGGCCTGTGGTGAGCAAGCATCAGGGTTTTATTATCATCTTGGGAGGCAATGATATCAGCCATCAGGCCAGAACCAGCTTGTCTTTTAACAGCCAGGACGATGGCACAAATGAAGCGCCATCAGATGAAAGCTGAGGTTTGAATAATTTGTAACGGATGTGGGCAGCACAGTTAAACGTTACGCACAAGATGTGGATGAGAGCTGCGAGGAGGGAGGAGGGACTTCCAGGGTAAACAACATACGGAAGGTGTTACAGTAGCCTAATCTGGCTCGGTTGGTGGAGGTACGACACCTGGTTCAAATCTAATCAGACGGTGACTCTGTGGGCAAACAACTTTCCATCCTTTGTAAATGTTTACAGGCTAAGTGGAAAACAGGCTTTACACACAAAGTGTTCAGCAGATCTTACATGATATTACTATGCAATGTGTCCACGAACCTGCCAGCCATTTTATTGTCTTTTTTTTAAAGGAGTTGTAAGCAGTAGTTTGATGTTTTGGGAAATATGTTATTAGTTAGACCTAGATGAGATGATCAGTACCACATTCGTGTCTGTGCGTTAAGTACTGGGCTTGAGCCAGGAGGCCATTAGCTTAGTTTAGCTTAGCATAAAGACTCTCTCCAAAATAAAAAAAAACTTTAAATTGTTAATTAGTGAGCTTTAGAGGGGCTAACTATTAGCTTAGTTTAGCTAAAATAGCAACTTCTGTTTAAAGCTCTTTGTAGCTAAAACAAATTATTGCTATTTTTATCATTTGAAAATATAAAAATTCATTCCACCATCATAAGATGCTTCCTGTATATACATCTTACACGAGTGTTGCACAGTATGAAAAAAATGTATGATTTTGTTATTCATAGGGGAGATTAAACAATACTCTGTTACATGGATGCAAACAGTGGAACAAATTGCAAGTTCTGTATACTTTAATGTGTTGGTGTCAATGTTATACAGTCGGGTTAGAAAAGTTTCATGGGGTAAATCAAAGTTATGGATTTTTGATTAATTGCTTTGAGTTCATTTCTAGGTTCATTATCTTCTGACACGTGATGATCCTAAATTAAAAAGAACCCACATTTCCAGCCGTTCCACTTGAACACAACCAACATTTCGGCTTGTGGTGGTGTCACAGTCACACCGTGTACCCACTGCTCACATAAATCGCACACTTTTAGAGCCCAGCAATATGAGGAAATGGCATTTTAAAGTCAGCCAATAACCCTTGAACTCCACCCATGCAGCCTTCCGTGAACACCGCCCAGCCTGCGCAGAATTTATCTCTGATTTCAAGCTGCAACACATTAAAACTCTTCCTTAGATGACTTCATCACGCAACCAGAGCTCTTTTAACGGCATCATTAACCATGTTGTCTCCGGGGCTACCTCTGTCAGACGGAGCCCCGCTGGGGTTGTTGTCCCGCTGTTGGCTGTTCTAGCCCAACTCAAACAACAAAGCAAAACATGGTGACATCAGAGCGCATGAATGAATATATTTCATTAATGTTTCTATTTATAAATATCATGTAATTTCACTACATGGGTAGTTTTGAGAGCTCTAAAAGTGCAAAACACTGTCTTGGTTTTGTTGTGAGTGTCTGAGCAGCTGTACTGCGAGCCATTCAACCAGGTGCTGGGGGTCAAGTCAGAGAGCAGCTGAGTGAAGAGTGCGAGTTTCTTTTTTGGGGAAAGCTTTCACCAGTGGAAGCAGATTCTCCGCTCTCTGCTCCCTGCAAAAATATTTTCCCTGCTGTCTGCTCTGCTCAGTAATCCCTGCTCCCCTGACACACGCACGCCAAACCCTGCCATTCCAATCAGTCAGCCCGACATGTGCTCTGTTGAACCCTTGCCACCGTCAAGGAGTGGTAGGGGCCATCGTCTGCTTGACTGTAATTTGCCCCCCTCCACACACACACACACACACACACACACACACACACACACACACACAC